TATGACCATTAGATTAAGGTATTTGCAATCCTAAAATGCTATGGGAAGGGAGGAAAACAGGTCCGCGACGTGGGAAGTGGTGAAGGAAATAGTCAAGGCGAGCTGTCCGGAGTGTGGAAACTGTTTATGACTATTAGATTAAGGTATCTACAATCCTAAAATGCTATGGGACGGGAGGAAAACAGGTCCGCGACGTGGGAAGTGGTGAAGGAAGTAGTCAAGGCGAGCTGTGCGGATTGTGGAAACTGTTTATGACTATTAGATTAAGGTATTTGCATTCCAATAATGCTAAGGGAAGGGAAGTAAAGAGGTCCGTGACGTAGGAAGTGATGAAGAAAGCAGTTAAGGCGAGTTTTTTGGAGTGTGGTAACTGTTTATGACGATTAGATTAAGGTATCCCCAATCCTAAAATGCTATGGGAAGGGAGGTAAACAGGTCCGTGACGTAGGAAGAGATAAAGGAAGTGGTAAAGGCGAGTTTTTTGGAGTCTGGGAACTGTTTATGACGATTAGATTATGGTATCTTGGTATCTACAATCTTAAAATTCTATGGGAAGAGAGGGAAACATGTCTGCGACGTAAGAAGAGGTGAAGGAAGTAGTAAGGTGAGCAGTGTGGAGTTTGGGAACTGGAAACCGTTTGTAGCAGTTAGATTAATGTATCTGCAATGCTGAAATGCTATGATAAGGGATGGAAGCATGCCCACGACATAGAAAATGGTGGAAGAAGTAGTAAAGGCTAGCAGTGCGGAGTGTGGGCAATGTTTGTGGCAATTAGATTAACGTATCTAAATTCCTAAAATGCTATGGAAAGTGATGAAAACAGGTCCACGATGTAGGAAGTGGCTTAGGAAGTAGGTATGAACATATGTTGAGAACCGTCTGTGGCAGTTAGATTAATGTATCTTCAATCATAAAATGCTATGAGAAGGGAAGGAAACATCCCCCACGAAGTAGGAAGTAGTAAAGGCTGGCAGTGCAGAGTGGGGGAACCGTTTGGGCAGTTAGATAAATGTATCTAATACTTAAATGCTGTGAGAAGGGAAGGAAACATGTCTATGACGTAGGAAATGGTGAAGGAATTAGTAAGGCTTGCCGTGCAGAGTGTGGGAACTGTCTTTGGCAATTACATTAATGTATCTGCAATCCTAAAATGCTATGGTAAGAGACGGAAACAGGTCCACGACGTAGGGGGTGGTGAAGGAAGTAGTAAAGGTGGGCAGTGTTGAGTGTAGGAATGGATTAATGTATCTGCAATGCTAAAATGCTATGGGAAGAGACTGTAGACTGTAGGTTAAAATGATTATGAAGCACGAATCGTTACATAATTCGATACGTATTCAATCGTTTACAATAGAAATTTACAACTGAGTTGACTACAGCTGAGTTTTACTCCATAGAGGCTAAAAACGAATTTTATTCCCTAAAGAGTAAAAATGCTACTTTAGACCCGCAACACATGCATCAATGACGACTGTTTTCACTGCAGTATGACAAAAACAATATAATATGAACCATTGATGACTCCGCTCAATTTTGTGGATGCTTCTGCGAACGCCACCTAGTTTATTTAAAGCCCAATAATCAGGAACAGCTGGGTCCAGTTTCGTACCATCAAAAAGCTGCTTATCTTTCTCAGGATCGAACCGGTGAACTATTTATTGCTAGGCGAACACCATAATAACCACTCAAATAAGGAATATTTGTTCGCGTTGATTTCTAACTCTACAAATTTTTGTTTAGTTAAATTGTTTATAATTTAACTAAACATGTTTTGGCACAGTTTCGCATCATAAGCATGCGGATATGGCTTTAAGTTACTGTCCTATAACATTGCCATTATACCAAATAATGTTGTGTTACGCGTTTCAATGAATTTCTGTTTGGATACGCACAACGAAATCGAACACAAATTATATTGAGGGTGTGAGATTAAGAGAGATTCGGGGGTTCTTATCTGTAACAATAACAATTCGTTACAGGAAGTTTATCTTCAAAATGATGGTTTAATAAAGTATCTGTGTTAAATTAGGTGCTTAAAGAACATTTAATACTATCATTAGGTTGTTTACAAGTCTTATTTGATTCGATTACTAAACTGAGCTGTGATGAATTATAAATATACTAGCTGTACCCGCGGGCTTTGCCCCGTTTAACTTCTTAATTTTCAAGATGAGCTCGTTCGCATGGCTCAATCACGTCCTGGTTTAAGTGCTAGGTTGGAGCTCGTTCGCTACGCTCACTCACCTTTAGGTTGGAGCTCGTTCGCTGCGCTCACTTGCCTTCTGGTTAGCTCGTTCGCTACGCTAACTCGCCTCCAGGTTGAAGTTCGTTCGCTACGCTCACTCACCTTTTGGTTGCAAATTAGCTGTTGTCATAAATTAAAAAAAAAAAATAGTGCTGCACCCTGTTGGCAATCCTTGTAACTTTAAAGCTATTGAACATCATAGAACAGAACCAACTTGTTTAATTGAAACAGCTGTTAAGATTCATTAATTCCTTTTAAATATGAAAAATCATAAGGTTAACATGGGAAACTCCAGAGCCACTGGGGCGGAGCCCGAGAGTCCGATCAGAATAAAAACAACTTAGTTTTCCTATTTAATGCCTAAAGAATCGGTGTACCAAATTGCAGCCTCCTAGGTAAATGGGAAGTGGGAGAATTAGTGATGAGTGAGTGAGTGAGTGAGTGAGTGAGTGAGTGAGTGTGTCAGTGAGGGCTTTGCCTTTTATATATTTAGATTTAACAATATCATTAAAATGCATTTTATTAAACACTCTGTATATACCTATATAACAAATAAAATTGTATTGTGAAAATACTATTCTCGTAGTTTAAATAAAATGCTGGTACGTAAATAGGCCTACGTTACTTATAAAATGTTAAACTAATATGATAACAACGTAGACAACGTTTTACGTTGATTCATAAGATTAAAACTAAAACATAAATAAGTAATAATGTCCCACGAAGAGGTTTAAATATTCGATTTTATATTACTAGACCAATTATGCACCGAACCTTTGGAAAATTTACACAGTTTACAAAGTAGGTTTTAAGAATATTCTGGACAAATTGTAGCTCCCTAACCCTTGTATAAACAAAATGGTGGCAGATTGAAAATATTTTATTAATAATTATATTTATAATTTATTTATTAACTGGAGATGGATCACAGTTTAAATAATTTTGGACTCTACTTTTAGGTTTTTTGTTAGGCTATGTTCTAGTTTCCTGATGAAAAAGCCATATTTCCCTAGAATGTGACAACAACAATATTTTACAAAACGAAAAACACCATTTTTAATGTTTTTTAAGTATAATTTTTCAATATGTCACCATTTTGTTTTTACAAGGGTCAGGGAGCTGAAATTTTCCCAGAATATTTTTACAACCTCTACTTAACAAATTGAGTAAGGTATCAAAATGTACAAGTAATGTAAAATCAAAAGTTTAAATCTCTTTATCTCTTTATACGTCACCCTGTACTTAATAAAATAAAAATTAAATAACTTTTTAACGGCCTACTAAGATAATTTGAACTCCATATAATAGCGCGACGATATTATCAAATTCAATCTCCTACTCTTTGGTAAATCGGGAGCTTAAATGATGGTGGCTTATGGGCTGACTTTTTTAAACCACAAATACGTGACACGAAGGAACCCGTTGCAAATTGCACATAATAGGGTTCTAAAGCTGAGACAAAAAATTATGCAATCCTTTACTTTTCAAAAATTATCATTGTGTATGGCAGTTGTTGGGTGAATAAACCTAATAATTTACAATAATTACAGTTGTTGGTTATAGTTTTATGCCATGAAAAAACAGTTACTTTACCTAGCTCAATGGGTTTACAATTATTATCAAAAGTGACCTATTCAAAATCCACTTTCATAAACTGTTTCATCTCGTGTTTGCAATCTGACTGTGGGTTAACTGTCGTTGAAGGATCAGCTGATAATTTAGAATTCGCATTCAAACCGTTATAAAGAAAGTTGCTTAGAATCACTGGATATTAAAAGTCTATATATAAATCTAACGCTAGGGGGTGAAGGTCTGAAGGGAACTACCTTTCTAGTTATCATTTGTTCCTCCGCGAGATCATAAGATTTAACACCCCCACCGCAGCAAACCTGGGGACTAAGTGAATTTCCTTTTGCCTGATTGGATTTACAATAAAATATCTCCTTAAAAATATCACATTTATTCCCTATCTAAATAGCATTAGTTTAACGAGTACTTAGGTTTTCTACAACTTAGGGAGCTCAATAAAGTGTTTTTTGTGTGAAATGTTTATAGTTTAGTATTGTATAGGTGCATTTTCCAAATTTGATCAAAATATGATCATAAACAAGAAAACTAAAACAGTTTATTTATTATCCATAAAAATAACATTGGGATTTAAAATTGCAATTTTGTGGAATTTCCTGTGTAACCATTAGGTGCATGTGTTATGTGTTTGTTCGAGACAATTATTACATATTAATAACCCTAATATCTTACAAAATTTAAAATAAATAAAATCTATATCATATAGAGCCTACCTGAATCAAGCTATAACTAACGATAAAAGTAGTATATTAAAAATTCACATTTATAAACAGTTTCCCATTTCGTTTAAAACTGACTGTTAAACTGGGGTTACCAGCTGTTAAATACAATTCAAATGTTAAAACATGTTTAAGCAAGTTAATTCAGCAGCACCTGTACTAAATCGCATCATATAAATAAACCAAAGAGAGAAGCTAAGCCCTGACAAAGATTATCCATTTAATTACATTTCTTCTTTGCAATAGATATTTTAAAATGAATCCTTAATCGTATATATCAGTTAAATAGGACAGGTGAAAAATGTATATAACAGGGTTCCCTTCCTATTTTAAGTATATAGATTTTCTACAGAAATTATTTTTTATACAATGCGTCATCGATAAAAACAATTATAATCATATATTTGTACATACAATGGGTTTACTAGAAATGACAATTCCGTGTTACCTTTAATCAACAGAGTGTGGTAAAGTAAGTGTCCGAGGGTTATTCCATGTAGGAGAGCACAAGATACACTGACGGCTGGGGCTGAGGCTGACGGTAGCGTAGTAGGAGTGAGGAGTGCGGAGTGCGGCTGCGCGGTGGCCGCGAGTGCGCAGAGTGCAGAGCTGCGTCACAGAGGCGACCTTGGCCGTGGTCGGGACCGGTCCTTGGCAGGAACTGCACGGAAGGATCAGCACTGGTCACCCAGGACTACAGGATGTTGACGACCTTCCGCTACAAGAGCAATAAACATCCCAGTCTTGTTGATGGCGTCGAGTACGAATAAACCACGGTCGTGTGGATTTGTTTACAATCACGTTGGTTTTTGAGAACGAAGACACAGTAAAACATTAGGACCATACTAATTTATGGTGGGCAATGAGTATACCGCAATTGCCTGGTTAGCCTGACAAAGATCAACTGGCTATATTGATGTATATATTATACGTAATTCAATTAGGGGGTTTCTCTTTAACATCCCCTTTTCGCCCGTCCTACTGAACCGATTTTTACGATTGAGGTGCCATTTTAATACGATCAAGCGGAAGGATGAATGGTAAATAAATAGGGGATTTGTTTGAGGGGTTTGCCTCCAAAGCCTTTGATTTATTTTTTAATAGCACTTTCAAAGGCTGAGTGCTACTGACCAACTAGGTTTATAACGGTTTTAAGCGTGAATAGTAACAGCTGATTACCATCGGTTGAATATACAACCTCACTCAAATTGTAAAATAGACATAACAGTTGAGGGTTAAATAGGCAATCTTTGTTTATAAACAATTGTAGCCTGATTGAATGATTAACTCTTTTCGGCGTAGACCTTTCATGATTTTTTTTATTTTTACGAGGTAAACAAAAGGTTAAGGGGTATACAAGTTTTGAACTCGATACGTAATTTGCACACGAGTCCATTATAATGACAACTGGGTTCAGTTAGAAACCAGCAATAATGAACAGCTGTTTTGAATCTGTATCGTTATGCCCTCAACTGGTCAACTGTTCTGGGACACATTGAGCGTGACAAACGTGACACAACCACACCAGATGGTATATACAACTGTCACGTTATGACCCTATCTAGAGGGTGGTGATATCGGTGGTCGGTGATGTGTTGGTGTAGATCCCGCATGAGTTGGTATGCTGGTCAACTGTTCTGGGACACATTGAGCGTGACAAACGTGACACAACCACACCAGATGGTATATACAACTGTCACGTTATGACCCTATCTAGAGGGTGGTGATATCGGTGGTCGGTGATGTGTTGGTGTAGATCCCGCATGAGTTGGTATGCTGGTCAACTGTTCTGGGACACATTGAGCGTGACAAACGTGACACAACCACACCAGATGGTATATACAACTGTCACGTTATGACCCTATCTAGATGGTGGTGATATCGGTGGTCGGTGATGTGTTGGTGTAGATCCCGCATGAGTTGGTATGCTGGTCAACTGTTCTGGGACACAGCGAGGGTGACAAACGTGACACAACAACACCAGATGGTATATACAACTGTCACGTTATGACCCTATCTAGATGGTGGTGATATCGGTGGTTGGTGATGTGTTGGTGTAGGTCCCGCATGAATATGTTGGTATGCTGGTCAACTGTTCTGGGACACAGCGAGCGTGACAAACGTGACATCATTGCTGCAGACGTCACGCAATCTTTGGTCACGCTAAGACCTTCGTAGTTCCTTGCCAAACAATGCATGTGAGAGAACAAAGCCTTAATGTCTGAAGTAATCGAGATAGCTGGTTTGTGAGTTTAAATTTTTATTAACTTGTGTTTTATTTTAGAAAATAAATCAGTTATACTAAAATGGAACATGCAGGGTTGGAACCACTTCAATTAGAATGATCTTTGTACTGAGTCAGGTGATGACGGCAAAATACTTCGTGGATGGTAATAATAATCAAATTGTAAGTAAAATATTGTTAGTTTTCACTTCCCATGGAAATCAGATACACTCACGTACGTTTGTATTCCCGATATTCCTTTAAAGCCTACTATTTCGACCTCAAAATGTGAGCATGCTTGTCAGTTCCTAATTTCACGATGTTAAATGTTCTAAAGAATATCTGGAATTTTTCTCTATGTCTATTAATTACTCTGTTACAGCCCCAAGCTTAACATTTATACACTAAAAGAGCTAACGAAGAAATAAAAACACTAAACACTGTAAGTGGTGGATTATTGTTGAAACAGCGGTTTGTCGTGGTGACAATTCAAGCCAATATCACGTAACATTGTTGATCCCAAACACAAGCACCATAAGTCGATCGATTTTGCTACAGTTCCAGTATAAGTCTGTCCTAGATAGCCTCAGCTCAGATGGAGACCAGATACAAATCTACCGTGGGATTGTCGTTGGCGTTAAGTCATCTATTTAACCCTTATCCAACAGTGTAATTGCTTCCTCAACTTACAGCTGGGCACGGTTCTCACACCGGTTCCAAAAACTAGTTGGCTCTAGTTCTGCTCCACCTGTGATAGTGAAAAGAGGTAGTTATATGACAATGCCGCGATCCATCATCCGTGGATCTACTCCTCATAGGTTGGTTTCGGATGAGCACACTGCCGAAATATGTCAACCTACAATCATTGAGAGGCTATTAGACGCATGCTACACTAAGAAATCTCCCCTATCATTCTTTGAGCTTTTGGTTGCATCAGACGTGTACACTACCAGAGGTTCTACACCTCCCATTTTCAGTCAGAGGTGGCTATTAGATCAACCACCCATTTACTGCTTAAGGGTCTCAGTACGTCTCATACGAGGGAGTAACATATGAGCTTCCATTTTCAGATGTTTCTATCCGACAAATGGGAAGCGGAGCGAGAATCATCCTATATTTTGCCGTGGGGGTCATAAACTGTCAAAACCGTCAGGGAAGCCCGAGTGCCGTTTGACTCCTTAGAGTGTAAGAGTAAGTATTTTCTTGAGTAATTTCTTGAGTAAGTATTCAAGGGAGAGGTATTGGTGGAAGGGGGTGTAGTGGGCAGAATGTAACGGAGACCGTGTACAGATTCTTAACTGGGCTACCCTAATATCAATTAAAAATCTAGATTTTATTAGTACACCTTCATTCATTTTTATAACCAGCATGTTTTGTTAGGTTAGCTTATGACAGTTTCATTTCATCCCTCAAACAAGTTTTGCTCATCCGACCCACCCCCTTGGTCGATCTTTCCACCCCCATACCCACCGCACCGTGGAATCGGTCGCTCATACCTGGCTGGCACTCGTACCTCCAAGCCTCAGGCTGTAAAATAACCCTGGTAAACTTTTTAGGCAAATGGCACTTGGCCCTGCACTCCCGACGAATGTGCTACTGGAGAATCCCCTCATCCAATTTCTGTCGGTGTCTATCAGACAAATTAACTACTGACAGACCTCCACCTAATCGCTCTATGAGGTGGCTATCAGAAGAATTCAAAACCGAAAATCCCCAACTATCATTCTCAGGGATTGCTTTTAGACGAGGTCCCTACTAAAATAGCTACACAAATCAGTCTGCAGATGAGTGTAAATTACCCTAAGATCTCCATCTTCCTTTCTTAGAGGTACTTGCGAGTATTTCTGTTGCATCTTCATATCGTGTAACCGTTATTCCCCACCCAAGTCTCTCTGCACCTCATGTACATTCATAGAGCACATAGTAAAAATAATATGTGCTCGATGTGTTTTTTGAGTTTATCAAATGCAGTAACAACCGCCACATCACTGCATCCTAGTCAAATTATCACTCTTATCTCTCAACAGATGTTTGTAGCTGTGATATCTCCGTATAGTGACTCTATGATAATTTCGTCATATTAGACGATGCATAATTTTCGCAGCCTCTGAAGACAAACAGGGACATGTTTCGCGTACCTGGTCTTTTAATCTCATCACACTGGACACAGGCTGTGGTGTTAACCACCTCATTGCTGTGGCCAATTTGTCCGTTGCATAACATAATCTGTACATCTCGTGTCACCTATTAAGTCACTCCTCAACAAGGCGGTATTGCTATTGCGGAGAAGAATCATGATTGTTAGATAACCGAGAACCTGTCTTGTCTTGTCTGTTCTGCAATCGTCATTTCAGTTTTGCGTTTTGCGGCATGGGTCGTGACGCTAGGTTCGTTACGCTCAGGCTACGTTGCGGTACGTTGACACCGCAGAGCGTAGAGCGTAGTTACATCACTTCTCTGCCCGCTGTGTTCTATGATCAAGGGCACGCACGTCAATGGCCATTGTCGCTGAGAACAAACGGCACGCCTTCATATCACTATCACTATCTCTAGCCGTGTTCTAATACTGCATTGTCTAACGTTCGTGACCGCAATCAACAAGTATCCAGTATCCATTGTAGACGTAATGGCGAATTTGAAACTAACATGTGATCACTGGAACCATTCTATGCGGGCGTTCAAAGGCGTCACTAATGCTAGAGATTTTATGGAGAATATACGGAATCAGAATTCCAGATCCCAAAACTTTTAGTTAATACTTTTTTCTTTTGCAAATCGTGATGGACATTTTCCACAATAATCAGTTAGGCAGTACTGTAAATGTAAATATCTAATTTAGTGAGGTTGGAGGGCAATCAATTTCAAAGTATTCAGGCCAAAGGCTAGGTCCATGATATTTTTGTTTTCTATGACTTTTAAAGAACCGTAAATACGAATTACATACAACTTGTTACAAACTAGAACATAGATGTTTACTACCTGTAGCAAAGACTACCTTTCAACGCTACCGCGAACGTAGACAACCTCGAGATCGCACTACAGAGTGCAAGCTAGAAGATAAGTTGATGCAGTTTTGACCTTAACCTAAAAACAACACTATAAACTGAGAACGTTATACATTAACTTCATAAAATTACCTTTAATAAGAATCGCTGAAGGTTTGTACTTGGCACGATTGACGGTTTAAGGTATATAACGTGTAATGTGGAGGTTTTTAGTTGTGCTATTTTTTGAACACAGAAAAACTATATTACAATCAAAAGTAGTTGATAAAAAAATTTTGTTTTTTGAAATTATAGTTGTTGAGAACTAGTTTATGAAGATGGGTGTCGTACGTAGAATTAATGAAACTGAACCT